TCGTTGTGATATATGCGGTAATAGTTCAAATATCACAGTTTTTCAAGTATATGATATGTAGTTTAGCGATTTAATCGATAGTCTTCGATGTAGTAATAAAAGTGTCTTGCAAATCTCTATATTATGTACATGCAAATTGCACTCGCTTATCGAGCGACGCATACTCTCGCATAAAATGTTGGATGAAATATGTAAAATCGAAAAATACAAACTGGCCAGAGGCATAGCTAAACGGGTATGCAGCCCGAAGCGTAGATTTATCATTGAAATTTCTCTAAAGCGTATACGAACGTGCCTTAATATTTTTTACCATTCCGTTGTAACCAGAAATCACGAGATAACACAAGTAAATTTTTGATTTTTCCCATTGGCTGGCCGTTGAATTCTGGTAAAGGAGGAGGGCTCGTTTCATGAAATTATGAGATTTATAATAACGTCGGCAGTACGGCTTAATAAAGTGACGAGTAGTGCTTAATCACATGAAATCCATTACCGCGATAGTATATAGTGCGATATAAGAAAGTAAGTTTATAAAACTGGGAGAATTTGTAAAATGATCAAAGTGTACGTATCATACAAAGAGAGGATGCTAATATTGTAAACACTATTATCGCGGCTCAAACGAAACGAGCCCCGGAAAACTCTCTATTACACAGAGATTATCTTTACTAATCATTACATTTTCATATTTTTTACTGATCAAAACGATTCTCTTCCTATATTCGAGATTGGAATATTGCAATTGATAAATTTACAACCACGCCAAACCACGCAATTTATGATATTCATTGTATCTAATCATAGTAGATACAACTTATCAACAAAGGCCAGCCATATTTCAAATGATTTGTTATTCGAAATGGAAAGTTCACAAAGTGGCTCTGTTTTATTGGACTATTGTGATATCGTTGGCGCGTGGTTAGCGTTTCCTGAGAAATCAGAAGCACACCGAAGGTCTATAGAGACCGGTGTAACCGCATAAACGGGCACGTAACGCGGGCAACAATATCGCTGCCGCGGAGAGATTGTCTTGCAATTGCGAACATTCGCAGATCAGTAGATACATTTTGTCGCCTTGTGACATGGACTTGTGCAATGTGATTCGCCTCAGGCCCACCGATTTCGGCAAATATCGGTACATCATACGGGCACCTGAAGCAGATATATAATCACAACAAAAATTTAATAATTCATTTGCAAATTAATATTGTTACAGGATAAACGATCAGATGTAATATATTCTAATAAAAGTGAACGATGTACCGGTCCAATAGAGCCAATTTTGCTCGAACTTAAGGCCGTCGTCGCCCTCGAATACTTTAAAAATCGAGACAATATAGCCTGTGGACGGAATCGGTGGTCTGACACCAGGTGGTTCTAGCGGTGGTCTTGCTATGGTGGCCACTTCGTTGAATAGATCCAATGTGTGATTGGCCGCATATCGAAGATCTCGAGGATCGAACTTTCTCAAGGCAGCGCATTGAACCTCGTTATAGAAATCAACGGGATCTGTGTTTTGTTTGTTTATTAAATAATATGTGATGAATGGGAAATCCGCTGAAAACCAATCGAAATTTACAAATTTAATCACAGATTCTCAAATTTAACTATTATGTATACTTATAATTTCAAGTAGACCAAATTACCATTTTTCTCCATATTCGTAAGAAGAATACTCTGAGAAGCTGAGGGTGCGATCTCAGCGACCAATTCGGCCGCAGTATCCCGTTGTAGGACCAACGGCCTGGAAACAGGAGATTCGACCAAAGGATCCAATGGCTCCAGAGGTGTCATAAAGTGAGCAAGAACACATTGCTTGGGATCTTCGACTTCGAGAACCGACAGAGGACTTCCTGGTCTCTTTTTGTCCGCGATTGGGGCATGCTGGAACGAGTCGGAATAAAGCTGTAGTTCAAAAAACAATGATTAATCATCTGTTCACATAACTTCTCGATTTTTGTTTGCTTTCTCTGAACACATTACATCATACGAAACATTTTTTAGAAAGTATTTTTTGAGAAAATAAAATAAAAATAGAAGATATTAGTAAAAAATTCGTAATTGTAACGCTTTACACATATCATTTATATTACGTTAATGCGTCATTCATCAGACTTTTGTTGTACACCGTTCGGTAAGTTACGTTTTTGTCTATTTTTACGCGTTTGAGACCAAGCCAGCAAGGCCAAGCCGTAGCTGCTCATCGAGCCTCTAAGGCCAATAACTCGAGTATTCTGGTTTTATCGAGTGCATTCTTGATTAACGTAGTTTTGTGTGGATCGTTCGAAGGATTTAAAAGAATTCACCAAAAATATTATAGATATACATAATACAATAATGGAATCTATCACAAATGGAATCTATCTGGAAATATCTATCTATTATTTCGAGAAAGCTCTCTCTCTCTTTATTTGAAAACAAATAATCTCGATATGGAAATCAGGCGACAATAATGACATAAAAGAACAAGAATCGAGGAGATTCTGTAAATATTTTTACCAAGCACGTTTTAAAACAGCACTAATTGTGATATATTGTTAAAATCATCTTGAATTTATAAATGAACATGCATGTTCAAAGTATGTTCGTTGCATAAAAAGTAAAAAAAAAAAAAAA